TTCTCAGCCTTTTTAGGCTGTTTTCTTCCCTTCTTTATAGATTTATCCATCTGTGGTCTTTATAATTGGGTTTCTGAGTGGACGTCCAACTTGTTGATTCCCAGCGCTAAAATCTGAGCAACCCACTGCCCTGGCCAAAACAGTGGCGTTATGATTGATGGTGCTTTTCTGAGTCTGCACCAAGAACTGCCACACCAAGGCAGTGGCAAAACCGCCTTGCCGGCCACAAGAGTGGCGCTGGCGACCCGTGGGGCTCCTCCGCTGGGAATCTCCTGGTGCATGATCAACAAAAATTCGTCTGAAAGTGTGGCGTCCTCTTGTTCTCTGCGCTTTCACTGGGAGCTACAATCCCAAGCTGTTAGTGATCAGCCATCTTGGATCTCTCTCCCCAGCTCAGTTCTTAATGTCCCCTGAGCAGTTTCAACATTTGCAAGAGATTATAATTCAGCAGCTAAGTACCCCTGAAAATGATGAACTTCTTCCAGTCCATCAAGAGCCCAGAATTCAGCCTCCAACTCAGCTCTCCTCAGACTTTGAAAGTCCATTGAGTGATGAGGTGGTATTTTCACCTCTAGATCTGTCTTCAGTATTCAGAAGTAATTCACCTTTGCCTAATACCACAGTTAAAAATGTGGATCTGGAGCTTACCAAACCTACAGCAGTCACTATGGGAGTTGAACCTTCTCCAGTCCAGCAGGACAACCCTCCTACTCCCACTGAGTGGGCAGACTTTTCTCTAGTCCAGCCTGATCTCCCTTCCTCACCTCTGCATTATCCTGAAAAGATTGAATCTTCAGTCCAGCAAGAGGCCACAATTCAGACTCCAGATTCTCCTAAGGAGGTAGAACCTTCTCTAGTCCGGCAAGAGTTCCCAGCTGAACCATTGCCCTTTAAGGAGGTTGAACCATCTGTAACCCAGTAGGAAGCCTCAGGTCATCCTCCGAAGTCCACAGAAGAGATCATCAGTTTTCCACTGCAGCAGGAGATACCAGCTCAGCCATCAGAGCCATCTGGGAAGGTTGAACCATCTCCTGTCCTACAGCAGGCCCCAACTGAGCTTTTAGAGCCACCTAAAGAGGTAGGATCCTCTCCAGTCCAGCAAGCAGTCCCTGCTCAGTCTTCAGAGCCCCCTATGGTGATAGAACCTTTTCTGACTCAGCAGATGGCCCCATCTTTGCCTCCAGAGTTCCTTGAAGAGGTGGAACCATCTCTAACTCAGCAGGACATTCCAGCTCAGATTCCAGAGCCCCCTCTGGAGACAGAACCTTCTCCACCCCAGCAGGAAGCCACAGTTCAGGCTCTAGAGCCCCCTAAGGAGGTAGAACCTTCAAGCCAGCAGATGGTCCCAGCTCAGGTTCCAGAGCCATCTAAGGAGGTTGCAGCTCAACCTCCAGCTCATTATGAGGTGACATTTCCAACACCAGGTCAGGATCAAGGTCAGTATTCAACATTGCCTAGTGTCACAGTTCAACCTTTGGACCTGGGGCTTACCATCACTCCAGAATCCACGACAGAGGTTGAACTTTCTCCAACCTCACAGGAGACTCCAACTCAGCCTCCTAAGAAAGCTGTACCCCAACTTCCAGTGTATCAAGAGGTAATAGTTCCAACACCAGGTGAGGCTCAAGCTCAGCACCCAGTGTCACCCAGCGTTACAGTTCTACCTTTGGACCTGGGACTTACCATACCTCCAGAACCCACTACAGGGGTTGAACATTCTACACCCCTGAAGAAGACTGTAGTGGCTCCAAAGCACCCTAAGGTGACACTTCCACATCCAGACGAGGTTCAGACTCAGCATTCAAACCTGACTCAACTCACAGTTCAACCTTTGGATCTGGGGCTTACCATCACTCCTGAATCTACCACAGAGGCTGAACCTTCCACAGCCCTGACGGCTACAGCTCCTCCAAAACAGCCTGAGGTGACACTTCCATCTTCAGACAAGGGTCAGACTCAGCATTCAAACCTGACTCAAGTCACAGTTCAGCCGCTGGACCTGGAGGTTACTATTACTACAGAACCTACTACAGAGGTTAAACTGTCTCCAGCCACAGAGGAGACCTCAACTCTGCCTCCAGATCTGGGGCTTGCCATAACTCCAGAATCCACTACAGAGACTGGACATTCTACAGCCCTGGAGAAGACTACAGCTCCGCGTCCAGACGAGGTTCAGACTCAGCATCAAAACCTGACTGAAGTCACAGGTCCACCTACTGATCTAGAACCTACTCGGGATTCACTGGTGCAGCCTGAAACTTACGCCCAAAATAAGGCTTTAACTGCACCAGAGGAACAGGCCTCCGCAAGCACCAACGTGTGAGCTCTGTACCTGCAGAGATGAGACGCTGTCGTGTATTGATCTCAAACCAAAGCAGAGGCTCCGCCACGTGCCTGTGCCAGAGCCCAACACCTACAATG